GCTCGTGGATAGGAAGATTGAACATTGTGAAAATGTCAATTCTACCCAAAGCAATCTATACATTCAATGCAATCCCAATCCAGATCCCAATAACATTCTTTAAGGATATGGAAAAACCAATCACTAACTTTATATGGAAAGGAAAGAGTCTGGGATAAGCAAATCACTGTTGAAGAAGAACAACAAAGTAGGAGGTCTCACCCTGCTGGATCTCAAAACCTACTAAACAGCCACAGAAGTAAAAACTGCCTGGTTTGGTATAATGACAGACACATAGACCAATGGAATAGAATTGAGAACCCAGAAATACATCCATTGACCTATGGTCAGCTGATCTTTGACAAAGGGCCTAAATCCATTAAATAGGGAAGAGAATGTATGTTTAACAAATGGTGCTGGAAAAACTGGAGATCCATTTGCAAAAAAATGACACAAGATCTGTACCTCACACCATACACAAAACGAACTCCATGTGGATCAAAGACGTAAATGTCAAAACTATAACTATAAAGTTCCTCAAGGAAAAACTAGGGGTAAAATTACGGACCCTAATATATGGCATAAATAGACTATCAAGCATAACCCAAAATACACAAACAGCAGAAGAGAAACTAGATGAATGGGACCTTCTAAAAAATTAAAGTTTTATGAGCTTCCAAAGACTTCTCCGAAAGAGTAAAAAGAGAACCTACAGATTGGGAAAGAATATTCAGAAATCACCTATCTGACAAGGGATTATCTCCAGAATTTATAGAAAACTCCACACACCTCAATAACAAAAAGACAAATAATCTAATTAAAAAATGGGCAGAAGACATTAATAGACACGTATCCAAGGAGGATATTCAGGCAGCCAACAAACATATGAAGAAATGCTCACAATCAGCCATTAGAGAGATGCAAATCAAAACAATAATGAGAAAGCATCTTGCCCCAGCACTAGCAGCAAAGTTCAACAAGATAGCAAATAACATGCTCGCGAGGATGCAGAGAGACTGGGACTCCCATACATTGCTTGTGGGACTGTAAAATGATACAACCACTGTGGAAAGCAGTATGGCGATTCCTTAAAAAGTTGTAAATAGAAATACCATTTGATCTAGCCAGTCCATTACTAGGCATATACCCTAAAGAAGTGAGAGCCATGACAAGAACAGACATATGCACACCCATGTTCATCATAGCACTATTCACAATAGCCAAAAGATGGAAACAACCTAGGTGTCCATCAGCTGAGGAATGGATAACCAAACTATGGTACATGCACACAATGGAATACGATGCAATGCTAAAGAATAACGTAGAATCTGCAAAACACCGCACAACATGCATGAACATGAAGGATACTATGCTGAGTGAAGTAAGTCAATTACAGAAGGACAAATATTGTATTAGTCCATTATTGTAAAAGTGAAGGACTGGTTTATATATGGAATGAAATTTTCTTTGTTGTTACCAGGGATGGGAGGGAAAGGGAGAGAACACTGTTAGAAAGGTAGAGATAAGTATTGATGTGGGTGAAGAGAAGGACAATGTACCAAATGTGAGTGATCAACATGGTGGCATTGAGGAAGAGAAAGACATAGAGAGGTACATGGGAGGTGCAGACAACAAAGATGAACCCTTCTGCACACACAGCACAGCATTGTCAGTGAAGACAAACACACGTATACAGGTGGATAGATGGATGGACAGGCTGGACTATTAGGTATGTCTATGTAGCAGGGAGTGTACCCAAGACCAGGTATAGGGTTGGCAGACAAGTGTATTTGTATGTTCTGTAAGAATTCCCAGGAGTATTATAGAACTGACAAGGGACAAGTTTGTACTCACTTCTTGGTCACAACCAGCTACCCAGAGGGACCAAGCAGTTGAACCTGTGGGCTTGGGACCATAGTCGCAGGGTGCATCAAGCTCAATTGGCATAACATACTACACAAAACATCGTTCTACCTCCTACTTTGGCGAGTAGAGACTGGGATCTTAAAAGCTTGCAAGCACCCATCTAGATGCAACAATGGGTCTCTCCTCGTCCAGAGCAAAGAAGAATGAAGAAAACCAAACATTCATGGAAACATGACTGGTACACCATGCAATCCGCAGCCTATACGACTATGAGACCAGAAGAACTAGATGGTACCCGGCTACCACTGTCAACCACTCAGAGGGGGATCTATGGAGGAGATCCTGGATAGAGAGGGAGAACAATGTGGAACAAAACTCAAAATCATGTGAGGAAAACAAAGGGGGGGGGTTAGGCTTGCTGGTCTGATAGAGCTTGGTGGGACCACTGAGACTATGGCCCCTAGCTGCCCATCAGGTCTGGAATTGAACCCATACCTGTGGCTTCCTGCCAAACATAAGACAGACATATGAGCTGAACATTTACCTGAGGTAGATACACTGCTTGGAGAGAAAAATCATAGGAAAAAGAAGGGCTGTTTATGCACAGGGAGACAGCTCAGGGGGCAGGACTGCATGGAGGGATGGACACAGGGAAGAGGTAACTATTGGGAGGAAGTGGGAGGGGAGCTGTTGCATTGGGGTAAATTGTAGTGCATGTCATGAGACAAAGTGTATGTGCACTGCTGTATGGAAAATGAATTTGCTGTGTAAACTTTCATCCAAATCACAGTAAAATTAAAAAAAAAAAAAGAAAAGCATGTCCAGGAAAAGAAAGTTATTCATATGCTGAACACTGGTTACTGCATGAAAATTGTCAGTCTTCTCAGCAAGTGCAATTTTATGATACTAAAGTCCAGTTGGAATGGTTGCAAAGACAATCGGAAGAAAGGAAATAGAGACAATGGATCAAGATAATTCTTTAAAGAGTATTGATGTGAAAAAGTAATGGGATAGTAAGTGGAGTATCTTGAGGTCATGAGAAGGTTCTGATTGTTGCTTAATCTTAAACATCACAACATATTTGTTGTTCATACACTGAAAACTAAGAGAGAGATGTACAATGAGAACAGAGGAGTTAACTGTAGGAGGCTTCTTGTATCAGTTCAGCAAAGTGAACTCACACTAACTTCACTGTATCTATTTTCTCCATAATTGATGTGATTTTGTTTAGCTAGTGTTAAGAATTTGCTCTTTGAAAAGCTCTATCATGCTCTACTTGACCCAAACAAGTTATTCAACTTCTATGTAGCTCAGTTTAGTCATCTGTAAAATAGGAATAACAAAACTCATAAATATACAAAATATAAAAAGCACTTAGCATATAGTAAGCAATTATTAAATGGAAGCATTATTATGCTTAACTTTTCATGAGTCTTTTCTTCTCAGCTACAAGAAAGGCAATTAAAGCAGAGCCCTTCATACTTAGTATAATAAGGATTTATGTATATTCTAACAATAATTTCATCATTCCACTAAATTTTAAAGATCAATTTTTAAAAATGTAAATTACCTCCATAATTTATGCTAGATTCTGGTGTGTTGGAAGTATCCAGGAGTGACCCAATAGAAAGGGAATGCTCAGCAGACGGACGCTTACGGGGAGGGAATGGTGATATGTCTGTCTCTCTTGACAACTGAGCAAGCGTTTCTTTTAAACGACGTCTTTTGCGATTGCTGTTTGGGGTATTTAGAGAAAGCAGTGATACTGATTTCTTGAGCTCAGGAGTACCAGCCTACAATCAGAAACACAAAAGCTCAATTTTATTTTCAGAGTTCTTTACCAGGAAACAAGATAAAAATATATTTATACATCTGACAAAATCCGAATTTTGCACAGTGTTGTCAAGTCATCCCAGAAGAAATTTCTGACACTCTGTCAAGTGATTCAGAAGCTTCATAAAACATAATAGTCAGAAGACCACCGTAATTGTCTAACCCCTAGAATTTCATTACTTTTCTTCACAGCACTCTCTTCATTACATAAATGTCTGTATGCTTGTTTACTGTCTACTCCCATTAGGCCATAAAATCCATAAGGACACAGACCAGTATTTTGTTCACTGTACTCTTAGCATTTAGCACAGTGCCTGGACATGCTTCTCTCCAATATATGTTAATAACACATAATTTTACTTTTTAAACTTTATGTTCAGAATTTTACATTGAGAAAATAACAGTCTGCAAGAGCATAATATGGAAGTTTTTTAGATTCTGTAGGTACATAATCAACCAAATTTCATCCTTTATATTCTATTCAAAATTATTATATCTCAAACAGAAATTATGTTCCCTTAAAGCCTACTCCTATCCTTTGGCTCTCCTCACCAAGATCCAACATGAAAGCTAGATTTTCTTTGAATACGCTCTGCTACTAACATCATCTATTTAATGACATCATTCCCCTTACTTCCCTTGAAGAATTCCTCAGTACTTATGATATAAAATCTCAACTCTAACATTCTTAAATACTTCTTGATTTTATCTACTTATTAAGCTTTATCTGTTGGTATTCTTTCCTACACTGTTTTCAGAAGCAATACTAAACTACTTGCTGTTTTAATGCCCTCTAAAGCTTTGGTATCTGTTTCCCACCTACTGTTCTAACTTGAATGCCCTTACTCCATTATTCTGGTAAGTGTGCTCAAAATGTATTTGCTCTTTTCACTCCTGCCTGAGTCTCAAGAAAGTGTGAGGTTACCTAAATTACACTAACAAAGAGTAAGCTAACTATGAAGCTCTGGTTGCACGGTGGTTAAGAGCTCAGCTACTCACTGAAAAATCAATGGTTTGGACGCACCAACTGCTCCACAGGAGAAATATGTGGCAATCTGCTTCTGTGAAGTTTAATGCCTTGGAGACCCTATGGGTAGTTCTACCCTGTCTTATAGGGTCACTACGAGTTGGAATTAACTGGACAGCAGTAGTTATACTAGTTTTAACACACATCACTCTGCATCGTAGCTATTTGCTTATCTATCTTTCCATTAATGTTCTAAGTTTTTAAGAACAAAGGCACTACTGTTTACAATGGCATAATAATCAGAATATGTTGTTGTTAAGTGCCGTTGAGTCGTTTCCAACTCATAGCGACCCCATGCACAGCAGAACGAAACACTGCCCGATCCCGGGCCAGCCCCACAATCCCTGCTATACTTGAGCCCATCATCGCAGCCACCGTGTCAATCCATTACGTTGAAGGCCTCCCCCTCTTTCATC